GGCTGTCCAAGTGACCATACTCCTATGTTTCTAGATTGCATCCACCCTATTACCAACTTGGAATCTCCTTCCACTTCGAAGTGTTGCATACCCCATTGTTTTGCCAATTTCAGTCCTTGAAGTAAGGCCATGACTTCTTCCCTAAAAGAATCTCCCACCCCAACCGGGCCCAAGTAAAGGGCCAAGACTCTTCCTTCCTCATTTCTGAAGACACCCCCAACTCCTGATGGGCTTGGATTACTTGATGAGCTTCCATCAAAGTTTAATTTCACTATGAACTGAGATGGTGGTAACCAAACCTCTTGAATTACAAGGGAGAAGGGAGAGACAACTATTAGAGCTCCAATTTCTAATTAAGTCAGTTTAGGAGAAGTCCTTGAAAAGTTTCTGCACTTTCAACCAATGAAGAATCTTGATGGTAATGCCTCAACAAGTGCTTCTTTGGATTTTTCTTGTCCTTGGAAAATCCTATTATTTCTCTCTTCCCAAATTGACCAAAGGATGGCTGCTTTTGTTATTCTCCACATTACCTTGCCTATTTTCTTTGGTTCCCAGAAGAAGCTAGAGTCAAAGAGATTCAACACACATGAGAGGGGATTCCATCTGCAACCAAAAAGAGAAGAGAACCGATCTCACAAATAAGAAGCAAAAGGCAATAGACATGTGGGGAAGGCACCAATCTGGCCTTTTTCTTTGAAGTACATCCATAGTGTTGATCTTTTGGAGAGCCACTTCCTAGGAAAAAGCCCTAACCTTTAGTGGAACAGGACTACACCACACTTCTTTAGTAGGAAAGGAGACATGCACAGTAGAAGGCTGAATTAGGGCATTGAAAAAAGAGGAGCAAGAGAAGGCCCCTGAATAGGATTCTGTCCAAATTCTACCGTTTGGGCAAGAATGATCTAGGAAAACTGAGTTCAACACAGAGAACAATTCATTTGCACAAGCCAATTCTGAATCCCTCAATCCTCTTCTCAAACTCAACTCCTAGGTCCCCTCAGATACATAGAAAGAGGAAATGATTTTGAATTTATTTAGGGAAAGAGAATACATTATTGGGAATCTGTCCTTAAGGGTGGGGGGGGGGTGTTCCCAAGCCAAAGATCCTCCCAAACAGAATTTTATTACCTTAGCATAGATCAAATCTGATGAAAGGGTGAAAGGAAGGCAAGGCTCCAGCAATGGCTTTCCAAGGGGAGAAGTGAGTAGCCCTAGGGTTGACACCAACATCCCATCCATTATCTGCCATCCTGTGAATACTTTCCACCACCAAGTGCCCCAAATTTTCTTGCTCTGGGGGAAATCTCCACAACCACTTTCCTAACAATGCCAAATTTCTTAATCTAATATTGCCAATGCCTAAACCTCCGAAGTCCTTTTTCCTGGAAATTACTTCCCACTTCACTAGATGGTTCTTTTTTGAGTCTCCTGGTTCCCACAGAACATCTCTCATGATCTTTTCTATCTTATTGGCAACTTTGATAGGTAACTTGAAGGTAGACAAAAAATACACCGGATGGTTGATCAAAGTGGACTTGATTAGAGTGAGTCTACCTCCTAGTGAGATATAATTTCTCTTCCACCTTTCTAGCTTCTTAGTGAACCTTTCTAGAACTAGGTACCAAAAAGCTTTCAGTTCTAGGATTTTCCCCCAGGGGCAATCCTAAATACAACATGGGCCAACCACTAACCTCACAGCCCAAAGACCTAGCCACTAATTGCACCTCGTCTTCCCGTAAATTTACTCCCGCAACACAACTCTTATTCCAATTGACTTTCAGCTCTTCCCTTTTTCTTTGACCAACTAAAAAATGTAGAGACAAACAAACTTTGCACATTTGGTGGGGGAGTCCACCTACACCAAAACAACAAGAAAAACCATTCCAATATAGAATTTACAAAGGGGCAAGAGATTATAAGTGATAGAAAGTTTCTCCATTAGCCTTACAAAGAACACACTAGGGCGGGGATAAGCACCAATTAGGTCTCCTTTTTGGAGCAAATCACAGGTATTTATTCCTTCTAGGAAAGCTTCCCAATAAAAACCTCTAATCCTAGGAGGGATCAATTTGATCCATACCTCCTTAATAGGAAAGAGTTGCGCCAAGCTATCAAAAGGTGGAATTAAAGCCTTGAAGAAGGAAAGCACAAGAGAAAATACTAGTGGGTGGGGAAAGGGTCCAAATTTGACTGTTAGTTTTGTTAGACAGTGTATGCCCTTAGCTCCAATCAGAATGATGTACATTATGACATTTAATGTAAATGAATAAAGTACATATTTGATTCATGTTATTATGGTGTGTTTCTGTGTAATACCCTTAAACTGGACACATATGAGACTTGTGTTAGT